TAGGAGCATTATCAGGACATATTTTGAGAATCTAGCAGGTAAGTGTTTGACCCCTGCGATCACCCCTTTCTCTATTCCGTTGTATGGGAAATCCGTTTCGAGAGACTCGTGCCCGTAGAGAACTACCAGTCTTATACACTTAGTACGGGGCGAAGTTTACCAGCTGTGAGCTTTCATTCGCGAGTAATCGACGTCTAAAGTCATTGTTTACAAAAACAATTCGGCCCTTTTGAAATGTTCACACGGCATTACTCAATTACGAATGTCCGTCATTGCTAAATTTAGGCTCTGAACCATTTGGTGGATTATTTTAACTTTTGGTTAAAATTTGACAGATGGAAAGTTATCGATTAACCCTGCTATCCGAGCGTGGTTATTTCTGACAGACAAGAAGTTAAATTTTGACTACCGTGGCTCGAAAACCGGTCGATCGACAGCACGGGGATTTTCGAACATAAGAAATAACTTTCGAAATGTCACTTTTAACTACGAGTTAAATTTAACTCGGCAAATGGTTCACAGCCTTAATGCGGCATGAAATCGCCAATTCAAACTCATCCATCTTCACAAAATAGTTGTTCTCAAGGGAAGCATTGAACCAACTTCCTTAGGATCCACTTTTATTCCACTCACGGATTTTCTTTCTCAACGAATCACGAAGAATGTTCACATGGTTTCTTACGGATCTTCATCATTTTTACTCCCTAAAAAAGAGTGGAATTAACAGTACATGAACGGTGGCTCCTGGTTTACTGATAGTAAGTATCCGGTCGGCGGAAAGAGAACAGCTTCCTGTAGCGCTTGTGGTGGTATCTTTGCACCAGCGGGAAGCGGATCTTCGAGTCGTGGAACTGCTTGATGTGAGCACGACGGGTCTTGGAGGCCTCAACCGATTCGACCTTGATGATCTGTTGGGAAAATATTCGCATCAGTGATTCTTTCCGGGTCAATACTACCAAAAAGCAACTCACCTGAATGGAGTGGGCACGGGCATGGTGGCGCGAAGCCATATCGCTATAGCACTGCGTGACAGCACCGCCAACGGTCAGATCACGATACTCGCGGTACATGTTGTGGGTACGGGACGCGAATCGTACCGCAGCCAGATGCCGAAGTTCTTCACGCGCAGCGAAGTTTTCTCCAGGATACGCTTGACCGAGACAATCTCACCGGTGGCCTTCTTGAACTTACGCAGCTGCCGCAGGAAGTACCAGAAACGGGACTTTGCCGTGATCTGGTCCGGTGCGAAGATGTGCATCAATTCCGCCATGTATCACGCACAGACTGTCGTTTGCTTATTGGATTTTACAGGATTTTACCATACACACAAAAAATTATCGCTAATAAAATTTAAAAAACCATTGGTAGAATTAAAAGTTTGCATTGGTTCTTTTTGGTAGAAAGTCATTAGCATTCAAAACAAAAGTCAGACAACTTTCTAATCAAAAGTTGCCTGGTCACTGTTTTTAAAAGTTGAAACTTTCAAAATAAATTGTTCTGCTGTCAAAAGAAAAGATCGACTGGGTTGAAATTAAAAGTGGATTTTTTAAATTAAAATCATGCTTTTGGGCTTGAAAGTTTGGTATGAATGAAATAAGAGGGGTCATTTTTAGTTTAATATAATAAAAATTAAGTTAAAAAATAAGCAATTTTAATATTATAACACATAATTTTCATTTTCATTTCTATAAAATATTGGTATCAGTTTTTTTAATTCCTAATGTTTTTATTATAATTTAATTAATATATATTTATTGATATCCCAGTTACTCGTAATCTTTAGGGAAGTACTCCAGATCCAAGAAAAGGTTCTATATACTACGATATTTCTCGCAGGTTTTATAGACTCCGATATTTCTTCGATGTACCGTTTCATGTGGTTTCATGTTTTCCAAGCTGAGCGCCGGATACTTCTAATAATATTCCTTTGTCAGTTCTTGCAATTTTCGCTAAGGAGGATACATCGGATCGGCTAGAGGAATGCTTTCCCGGTGAAACCACCGTCAATGGCATCCGTAGTGGCTTCTGTGGTGTCAACATCGAAGATGGTGCAAAGTGCTTCGTACTTTCCAGAAACGTGTCAAAATCTGCAACAAGATAAGACCACCTTTAAATAATTCACCTTTAAAACCTAACCCCAAATTAACTTACCTAGTATTCAACTCCAGTTGCACATTCCGAAATAAGCTACCTACTCTTGGCCAAACCTGATTCCAGCACTTCCATATGCTCGCACTTCACTCCACTGAACATGCGAATACATATGTATTTTAATATTTTAAACTACATTTAAGTACATCAAACTGGTAGATTTTTTCCCGGGTTTTTTGTTTTTTTTTCACTTGTGATGGCTGTGATGCACGAAAAAACGAAACAACCCAACATTTAGTCAATGGTATTTTTGACAGTTGAACAATTTTCAGTTTGAAAATATGTCTTATTAAAATGACAAGTATAAAGTGAAAGACAAACTTATAAAATAACAATATTGCTTTCATGTTAAATCTTGTCGTAGTTGAAACTACGAAAGTTGGGAGACTTTTAATTTGAAAATGCATTATTTTTGAAGAAACAATTTTTATTTTTTGTGTGTAGGAGTAAAGAGCTATACCTGTATACAGAGTCACCGTCAACGCCAATAAACAAAGACGATCGCAGGGGGATCTGTCATTTCAGCAATGTGGAAGTCATGGTTGCCAGTAAACATTGTATGTTGCCGCTTGACGTTTTGACAGCTCATTCGACACAGAAACACTCTGAAACACCCAAAAACACACAAGAAACACAATTAGCACAGTTACAAGGTGGCAGAGTGACTTACCATGGAACCTCCGTTGGCAGCACCGAAAATCTCCATCGAATTCGCCCGGAACTCTATCCGACGTGAACATTTGAAAACACTGTCAAATCTCCCCGGAACATCCGTAACATATAAAATATCCACCGAAATCATACTATGGTATTTTCTCCGCCGTGAACACGCATAAACTTACTAGAAACTCACTGCAACCTCATCCGGTAGCAACGGAAATCTCAAACGAAATCGTGCAGAAGCTGCCTCCGGAACTTCCAGTGTCAACATCGAAAACCTCCTCCGAAATCGTGCTAAGCCTCCCGCATAAACGCGAACCATAAATTGACCTTACCTAAAATGGTTAAAAATTGTTTATAATCCCTGCTAAACTTTAACTGAAATGGTTATGGAACTTTACATGAACGTTTAATGATAAAGTTTCAACCTTATGTATTATGATTTTTTGGAAATGGACCTTACAAATAATGGGTTGTTAAGAACCATTACCATTCCAAATTCTTGTTTTCTCCATACACTGATAAATTGAACTATTCCCATTTTGCTTGAAATTTAATCAATTTGACATTAAACTCCGTTTAATCATATCGAATGATTAAAAACTAATCCTCTCTTTCTAAAATATAAGCATCTGATATTAATCCTAGTTTAATCATGGTTGATTAGATTGTAGATTATCTTTTCTTGAATAAATGTCAATCATTTTTGATTTCATTTTAATAATTTTTGATTGAATTTTGATCTTTTTTGATTATATATCAGTATTGAAAAAGAATAAAATTTAATACTGGGAAGATTATTTCGATTTTAATCATGCATGACTACTGCCGAAGTAATCATGGCTCGGACTCAATAAGGTGAAGCGGGAATCTGCATACTTTTTAAGCTTTTTTGATTTAATTTATCTTTGAGTGTACATTTTCAGAAAGAGAACTATATAAGAACGTTTTTACTTATGATTTGAGAACATTTATGGTAATGGTTATGGTAGTCACTAAGGTCCATTAATGGTTTTGTATTATCGCTCAACTTTACGTGGAATATATCGTGAATTGGTAATCAGTAAATTACAGGCAACCAATTCGCGATATATTCCACATAAAGTTGATCGATGTTACAAAACCATTCGTGGACCTTACTGACTACCATAACCATTACCATTAAAGTTCTCAAACCATAAGTTAAAAGGTTCTAATATAGTTCTCTTTCCGAAAATGTATGGAGAAAACAAGAATTTGGAACGGTAATGGTTCTTAACAACCCATTATTTGTATGGTCCAGTTCCAAAAAACCATAATACATAAGGTTGAAACTTTATCATTAAACGTTCATGTAAAGTTCCATAACCATTTCAGTTGAAGTTTAGCAGGGATTATAAACAATTTTTAACCATTTTAGGTAAGGTCAATTTATGGTTCGCGTTTATGAGGGCTGCTTCACCGAGAACGCGTGAAAACCCCGTCAAAATTCCGTTGAATCACTGACAAACCGACATGACACTTAATTCTGACTTATGCACGAAAATCGTAAACGGCCGATTTAAATGTGCAGTGATCCGAACTGTCAAAACCATAGGATTGTTTGATCTAGATAAAAATAATTTGTTCAGAATAGATCAGACACAAACCAATTCACAACTTTTATATAAGGGTTCATGGCTTAGCTAAATATTTCCCGTGAATACACACAAAAAATAATCGTTAATAAATTTAAAAAAAAAACCATTGGTAAAATTAAACGTTAGCGTTGGTTCTTTTTGGTAGATTTGCCAAAAGGTATAAGGAGATTTCTATCCGTGTGTGTGGTTACACATGATTTTTATAAGTACACATAAAAAGTATGTGTCGTCGACATATACATCATTTGTTTATCACATTGCAAAAATTCATATGTGGAACACATAAAAATAATCATTGAATTTTTATTAGTGTATTTTTGGTTCAATTTTAATTATCCCAGCTTATAGCATTTTGTCCACTATTGGACTTTTCTCGTCCATTGTGCACAGTTTTTTTTTTGTCAATATTGTATAAATTTTTATAGGCGTGTATAAACAACAGTCAACCGTCTGACAGTTATGCGTGTCAAAATAATCCACCCCCGCAGTCCCACACCGCCAGCTGATCCGCTCGTTTGCTCAACCACTAGCACTTCATCGATGAGAAGGAAAATCCGTCAAAACGATTGCGAGCTTGCGCAGTTGTGTTTGTGCTTCTTGTCTTCTCCCGTCTGCTGGGGTGGTGTGTTTGGTTTCGTGAACCGTCCGTCTACCTCGAAGTGGCTCATCTATTGCTCATGGCTGGTGATATTATGCTTATGAGCTCCGTGGTGTGAAAATAAGGTGAAAAATCTCCAGAAAGGAAAACATAGCCATTGATACTGTGACTTTCCCAGTGCAGCCGTTCAAGTGCAGGTGAAGAATAGTCTGGAAGCAGCCCAAAATGCGTGAAAGATTGCTGCTTTTGCTGGAGGGGCATCGATTTGATTGGCAATAATATATGTAGCTACCTAACTATTCAACGTCCATCAGCAAAGCGATCGAGACGAAAAGGAAACGGCATCGACGACGACATTATTGTGCTCTACAGCGTAAACGAAAAGAAGATTACACGCAAGAGTTGCCGAAATCTGGCTTGGAAAAAAAAAACGCTTATTGGAAGGAAGAAGCTGTAATCACTATCTGTATAGCTATTTAGCTGCTTGCTGCACAGAGTACTCACAACAGGAATTGCGACAAACTTTTCTGTGACTTACGATCGAAAGTGCAAAAAAATGGGCTTCGTCAAAGATCCGTGCGGAATTGTTTGCGTGCTGGTGACCTACTTGGCGGTGATTTACGCCGACTATGTGGTGACCCGGTGGATCATCCTGCAAACCATGCAGAACAGGTTGGTACAGTGACGGACGACGGTTCAATGCATATTTGAGATCTTATCTGTTAATCGCGCTTGGCTTTCGGGGTGTAGATATCAAAAATAATGTTCAAAGTTTGATTTATTAGGAAAACACTGGTGTGTGTAGATGTTTGTGGAAAGACGATGAAGACGGCGGGTTCGATTCGCGCCGACATAGAGTATCATAGTTGCAAGAAAGGTGCTGGCTTTGAAAGTTTAAGTAGTCCAACACTTGTTAGTTGAAATACTTATGTTGGGAGGGAGCAGTCGTAAAATTCCAGTTGATGTTTGAAAAAAAATAGTCATTTAAAGCTACGCTACTAATTAAAAAGTATGAGAAGGACCGAAAAGGCATAACATCTCTGATCACGCCTACCTTCGGAAAGGAAGTAAAGCCATAGAGGTAACTCTAAGACCAGACGGTCCCGAAGAAACGTTCTCAACTTTTTAGCTCATCTCTGGTACTCTCTTGGGTGTCAAGCTAATCGATGCACCCCTCGAAACATAGGAAAATCCGCGAACCCATCATTTTATCTGTAAAACTTTCATAGCGAATCAAAACAAACATAGTGTAGTACTAGAATTTCGACTGGAATGGGGTACGTTAATCGATTTGCTTGGGACCAATAGGCTAGTCAAGTAGTGAGCCAATTTAAAATCGTTAGTTTACACCGGTTAGTAAAGCCATTGGTCCCCGGTTTATGAATTGATGGGTCGAGAGGTAGGGCCCAGGTGTGGGAGCTTCCTCCCTGGCGTCGGTAGCATTGTTGCTCAACACGTCAAGGAAAAAAAACTACTGGGGGGCAAATCGAAAAATTGTGTGACGGACCGTGGGTTTGAAGAAAAACTTCAAGTCCCCTCATCCATTAATGTATGAATTAGGTAGAGGAGTGTGCGTTTGACTTAGTACTGTTGCATTAATGGCAATTCGCTCAATTTCAACTTCTATTCAATTTTCACACTGCCGTACTCTAGCGGAACTATCAACCTATCCTCTTCAGAACTTTCTCTAGTTAATAAATTATCACACTAAAGCTTCATGTTGATATTAGTATAGCATTTCCAACCAACTCTGAAAATCGTAAACTTCACGTATGAAGTAACAAGCAACACTTTGAATTCAGAAGTTCTCCACCTTCTGTAGCAAAATACAATTGCTTGTGCTCGAAGAGGTACCGGAAGAAGCATTGAGTTTTAACTAGATACCAACAAATAATTATCATTGTAATGCCGCGGATACACTTGTATGACCAACTATGAGCATGAGCATTATTTGTATTATAAATTATGAGCACATCCATGGTCACACTTGTATAGTTCATGGATTAGCTCATATTGTATTATACAAATAATGCTCACTCAGATTGTCATGCAAGTGTATCCGCGGCATAACATACACTGCACAAACGCATAAAATCTACTAGGTGAAAATCCGACGGTAGTCCGCAAAACTCCAGTCATTTTTCAAGAAGTTCAGCGTTTTTTGAAAACCGGAAAATATTCACATTGTTACACCTCGTTACAATTAATTAATTAATTTAGCTTTATTTAGGAGGCTTTCAGCCTTAGGCTGGTTCGCCTCCAACACCTCGTTACACTTCCACGACGGTGGTTAGGGGAAAACTTGGCAATGCGCTTCATATACAATAAATTTTAATTGAAATTTATATAAAAATAGTTCGACAGTGAGTATGCATAAGGGCGTAAACGCGATGATCGATTCTCTTCGTAGATTTTCTCTTTTGTTAATAACTCGCTAGATTTAACGTTTCTCGGTGCGTTTGCTGTTGCTTTTGATAGCCAATACAACCCGTTAAAACTCTGTATTGAACAAATTCTAGAAAATTATTTCGCTGTAGCAATGCAAAGAAAAAACCGAAATCGTCTGATAATATTTCTGCGAATCTTTGAATATAGGATTACTAGTACGAAGCGAGGTACGAAGGTTGAATTGAAATGATTCTTTGACATAAATAACAACGCCGCCAGTGTGTCTAGAATGCGATAAACAAGCAGCAACATTATATCTCGGAATACTATACTGATCAAAAGTTTCAGTTTCTACAATATGAGTTTCAGATAATAAAACTAAAATAGGACGTTTTTCCTCAACAATCTGACGTAATGCAACGTAGTTTGTTGACAACCCGGCAATATTCAAATACAAAAAATCGAATTGATTCACATTCCTGGAACTTGGCTGCTATTTATTGAAACGCAAGCTGCTTTTCTTCTGATCAAAAAGTCTTTTATAGAGCAAAGATTCAGAGCTAAATGCGGCATGGTTGACGTTCAAGTTCATTTTACGTTCTTTATTCATTTGTAAACAATAAACACATTTCAATACAGTTGACGTACACTCCGAGGTTTAGAGTTGTTGGCTGCACCTAGAACACTTCTCACAATGTTTGCAAGCCATGATCTTGTGCCCAAATTCTCCACATTTGAAGCATCTCAACACATTAATCGCGGGAACTATCGAGCACCGATCAAACCCAACATTTACTTCTTTCGCACTTAATAAACATTTATACGTATCTCCATCGACTTCAATCACAATGTGTATATTATCTGTATTCCACTATCAGAGTTTGTAGAATATTCTATTTTGTGAAGATTGTACTATAGAGGTAACTCTAAGACCACTGGGTCCCGAAGAAAATCATTATTATTTTTGGCTCACTCAGTACCAGAACAACGGTCCCAAGCAGTCCCAAGCTATTTCACTCACCCCTGCATGAATCCACACACCCCTGATGTTATCTGTCAAACTTTCATAGCGAATCAAAACAAACATAGTGTAGTAATAGAATTTCAACTAGAATAGGGTACGTTAATCGTTTGCTTGGGACCAATAGGCTACTAAAGTGGTGAGCCAATTTAAAATCGTTAGTTTCGTATTGATTGTTGATTGTACTATGTTGAAAAATTGTATTCGTGTTTTCTTGCAGCCCCCTAAGAATTGCTTCCCTCTGTGCTCTCTATTCCCTCGTTGAATAGCCACACCCTGACGAACATTCCCCGTGCAGTGATGAATGCAGTGCTTCTCCCCGGAAAACTAAATGTGTGTCACGGAAATGCCCAAAGTATCTGTGCTAGGAGGTCAACCAAACTGGACGAAGTATGAAAACTGCTTCAAGACTCCAAAGTTAGTAACCGCAGCATTGCCATTCCTGGATATAAAATCTTACGCAACGACCGACTGTATAAGCGTGGAGGTGGAATTGTGATCTATTACAAAGATCACTTACGGTGTAGGGGAAACATTCCTATTATTGCGGTACGTTAGAAGCGTTAGGAGCCTATTGTTGTGTATGGAGACCTCCATACACAACAATAGGCTTCTAACGCTTCTAACGTACAGACTGTTTCCCCTAATAACATTTTTGGGACAGTACTACAACTCGATTCAGAAGACAAAACAGAGCGCCTAGCGTTGGAGTTGCGACTTGGCTCGGAGAAACTGCTGATTGTAGCCGTTTACAATCCCCCAAAAAACGACTGTTCAGGTTTTCTTGCCGATAAATTAGCCGACTTTGCCGCACGTTATGAAACCGTTTTGCTTATTAGAGATTTCAACACAGGCTTGAACACCCGAAACAGTAAGCAAGCAAACTTCGAAACAGTGCTTCAGAGTTTTGCGTTGACGTCTGTTGGTGACGAGCCAACCTTCTTTCACCATACGGGATGCTCACAGTTGGATCTGTTTATCACTAGCTGCGATTCGAAGGTTCTGCGCTTTAATCAGGTTAGTTTCCCTGCACTTTCGCAGCATGATCTGACTTTCGGTTCTTTGGATTTTGATGGTTCGCCTGCACCAATAATTCAAACATATCGTGACTATGTCAATTTCGACGCTCCGGCTTTGGAAAACGCTATACAGTCCGTTGCATGGGACAATATGTACTCCATTGACGACCCCGATGATTTACTCGATTTCTTCAACAGTCATCTCAAACGGATCCATGATCAATGTTTCCCGTTTCGAACAGACAGCGACCGTATGCAGAGTAACTCGTGGATTGATTACAATATCAGGAAGTCAATACTGGAACGCGATTTAGCCTACAAGGACTGGCTGAATGCATCGTCGGATTCAAAGTTACAAGCAAGACAACGATATAAAGCACTGAACAATCGAACCAACGCGTTGATCAAGGACACCAATGCACGTTACCTGCGCCGCTTCTTAGACGACAGGATCCCATCCAAAACTCTGTGGAAGCGGATCAAAACTCTTGGTGCTGGTAAGGAACAAGTGTCAGCGGACTGTGAATTCGACCCAACCGAAATAAACCGAGTGTTTTTGGCGAGCTACACCAATAGTACATACCAAGGCATTCCACACAAGCTTCTCCTTCCATCCTGTACAAGACTGGGAAGTTGTGAACGCAACATGGGACATTATATTCTACCTTTCCTGCGTACTGGAAGCAAGCGAAAGTACTGCCTCTACGAAAAAAAGACACATTTGAACACGTTCACAAATCTCAGGCCTATTAGCATCTTGTGTGCGATGTCGAAGGTTTTTGAAAAACTTTTAAAGCAACAAATGTCGGCGTTCATTTCTGAGAACCATCTTCTATCGGATTGTCAAGCTGGGTTTCGCAGAGGACATAGCATCAAAACTGCGACGTAACGTGTTTACGATGATTTGGCGACCACAATCGACAAGAAAGGGTCCGCCATATTGCTCCTGTTGGATTTTTCCAAGGCGTTCGATACAATCCCAGTATGCCTCGTCAATTCGTACCTATTTGGAAGAAATCAAACTACTGTCTTTTGTGGCAATCAATGCGCTAAGATTGGCGAGGTAACATCTGGCGTACCGCAAGGGTCGGTGATCGGCCCTTTGTTGTTTTGCTGTTTGTAAGACGGTTTGGCCCGTGTGTTCATGAGCTAATGAGAATGGTGAACGAAGACCTTGAGAGAGTTGCTGAATGGTCTGATCGTAACGAGCTTTTCGTGAACCAGTCGAAAAGCACGGCAATTTTCGTTAAGAGACGCCGTCGTAACTCTGTTCGCACTGATTCGCTGCCTGTTATCTCCATGAAAGGACAACCCTTTGAATGGACCGACAGAGCTGTAAATCTTGGTTTCGTGTTTCAAGCTGACTTGGAGTGGGATGGACTAATTAATCAGCAATGCGGGAAAATCTACGCTTGTCTGCGCACGCTCTATAGTACAGCTTCTGCCCCATCCACGAATGTTCGGCTTAAGATGTTCAAAGCTCTCTTACTGCCGGATTTTCTGTTTGGAGATCTTCTGCATGTAAACCCCAGCGCGAACTCCATGGGCAGGTTACGAGTTGCACTTAATAGCTGTGTCCGTTTCGTCTATGGGCTTGACCGGTACGCAGGAGTGAGTCATCTCCAGCCAAACTTGATCGGTTGCTCGTAGCAGAATTGTGTCTTTTTGTGGAAACTTGCCAAAACGTGTTCCCCACCAGCGCTCTTCCAGAAGTTGATCCCGTTTCAAAGTCGTCGATCGCAAAATTTGATCCTTCCACCGAACAACACGTCAGGCTACGCAAGCACAATGTTCGTCGGAGGTGTGGTAAATTGGAATATGCTGCCTTCTACGATTAAACGTTCGACGATCTAACCTTTATCGACAATTCCAAAACTCGAGGCAGCCCTCGAGTTTTGGAATTGTCGATAAAGGTTAGACATAGGTTAGTGTTTGTATTATATAACTGACGACATACTATATTATGTACAAAACATTTTACAACACGGAGGTGGTATTTTAAAAGGGATTACCCCTTACACTGGCAGATGATAAATAAACAAACAAACAAACAAACAACTCTAAACTTGTTGTAAGTGAAGCGTGGATTTTGAAACATGTTAACTACTTTTACTTCATTTATAGCGATGTCTTCATTTTGACTTTTTGTGTAGTCAATGAAGACATCGGAGGAATACTGTATCTTGGCACCAAAGTGGGAACAACAGCACTATAGTTTTCACCCAGATTGCTTTCAATACAATTTTTGCACACTCAACAATAATAGAGCCATCTTTACCATTCCTAAAATTGCTGATTTTGTGTGTTTTTTGATCTAACTGTGTTCTAACTTACGAGTATCTTCGCAAGTTTTTTTGTACTCTATCGGTTTAATCACAATGACCGAGGCTTACAATTATTCGGCTTGTTACTGTTACTAATATTTTTACTTGTACTTGTACTAGCACGACTAGATACAACATCCACAAAACTCGCATTTTGTTGAAAAACATCATCAGTCGATCGTTGTTACTATTTTGAAATTTACGTTTTTTGCGTCTGGGATTTCGGTCCGATTCAAAATGATCTTCCTAGATGCACTGCACTGAACATTTGTTGCAGCTAAAGTCTTTTTCGCACTAATTTCAAAAAATTAACTAGTAAGCGTGTTCCATTTCTCCTTAATTATTTTGTCAAAGCAACTTAAAGAACCATTTGCATTTTGTTGCATTCTTTCCATCTCGATTCTTACGCGTTGTCTATCTGATCAGCAACGTTGTTTCGTATGTCAGTAATAGAGTCTTTACCGATGATTTTGCCATCCGAAACCGATACATTCTGCTCGTCATAACTCTGATCTGACAGACAATTACTACACTTGAATAGAACATTTGCATTATCCGTGATAAGCTTTGCTAGAGTGTAGTGAATGTGCAATGAAATACACGAGCACACTAACCCATACAGAAAATAGGCAAATCGCTTACCACAATCCTCATAAAGGTCGAACACGAAATTATTGCGACACCGAAAATGTCATGCCAATTTTCTTATAATGTTTAGAATCAAACCAAAATTTTAGGGTAGTTTTATACATATATTTACTTCAAAAATCAAAAGAAAAGTTAATCGATGGAGCCTTGAGTGTAAAATTGAACGCATTTTCGCTTGATGCCCTCCATCAAAGTCTTTACAGTGTCATCCGGTACCAGTTTCTCAGTTTTTTTTTTTCCATTTTCTTAACATGTCCTTCTCGTCTTTGACTATCTTCTTGCTCTTCCGAAGTTCCCGCTTCATTATTGCCCAGTACTGCTCCACCGGGCGCAGCTCCGGACAGTTTGGCGGATTCATGTCCTTTGGAACAAAATGAACAGAATTGGCCTCATACCACTCCAGGACACTTTTAGAATAGTGGCATGATGCCAAATCTGGCCAAAATAGCGGAGCTTCGTCGTGCTGCTGCAAGAACGGCAAAAGGCGCTTCTCGAGGCACTCAGATTTGTAGATCTCGCCATTTACTGTGCCCTTTGTCACGAGAGGCTCACTCCTCAGTCCGCAAGAGCAGATGGCCTGCCAAATGAGATATTTGGAGGCGAACTTCGACATTTTTTTCTTCTTAAATTTGTCGTCCACATCGAACTTGCTCTTGCCGGTGAAAAACTCCAACCCCGGAATTTGCTTAAAATCGGCTTTTATATACGTTTCGTCGTCCATCACACAGCAGCCATATTTTGTCAGCATCTTCTCGTAGAGCTTCCGTGCCCGAGTTTTAGCCGTCGATTGTTGCCGCTCATCGCGGTTTGGGAAGTTCTGTACCTTGTATGTATGTAGTCCAGCTCTCTTCTTTGCATTCTGGACGTAGCTCTGCGACATGCCGATCTTTTTAGCCAAATCACGGCTTGAGACGTTGGAATTTGCTTTAATCATCCGCTTCACCTTTCCCTCCATCTTTTTGTTCTCCGGTCCCGGTTTTCTTCCAGCTCCTTTGCCGTGGTCCAACGTCAACCGCTCCTGGAACCGCTTCAACACTCTGGAGACGGTTGAATGGTGAATGTTCAACATTTTTCCCAGCTGCCGGTGCGACAGGTCAGGAAATTCCAGGTGTTTGGAAAGAATTTGTTCTCTCAACATTTTCGTTGAATCGAAAAACACGACTTCGAGTTTGACAGCATGTACACAATACACATCAATGAGAAAGTGTGCAAAATTTGATTGATTGTTACCCAATGGTAAAAAAGTTATGCCCTGTTGAATGTGTCGCAATAATTTCGTGTTCGCCCTTTAATAATTCTCGCAAGAATTTGTTTAATTTCTATCCATAATTTTTTTTTAGAATTCGCTTGAAATATTCCTCGGAAATCTTTTGGTATGCCGTTTAGAATTAAGAAATGTATTATCTCAAAATTTCCTTGGATTTCAACCCAAAAATGTCCTTAAGATCTCTTGGGATTACCTTGGAATTCTCTTGAAACTTTCCTTAGTATTGCGTTGGAAATTTCTTCAGATTATCTTGGAGTACTAGTCATATGCTCAAAAATTCTTGCCTCCCGGAAACTCATTGAAATGCCCTTCAAAATGCTTCTGAATTCTCTTAGGAATTATCTTGAAACTACCCAAGTAACCAACAAGCCCGTAAATAACCTAATAATGGCCTTTTTTGCAACATAACCTCACCATTATGTTGCATTTTTTTTTAATTAGCGAGCTGGATGGTTACTTGGGAAATTCCTTTCCATTCGCTTTAGAGTTCCCCAGAATTATAATCGCGTCCATTAATCCCATTTCCCTCTTCCAGCCTCTGGGCCCCGTTTCACGTGGTCGCATTCAACACCATCGTGTTCCTGCTGTCGATGGCTCACCTAAAGGCGGTGCTGCTGGATCCGGGGACTGTGCCACTGCCGCAAACCCGTATCGACTTCTCCGATCTGCACTCGGAACGAAACTATAACCGCGAGCACGAAGAGTGGACCGTGTGCACCCGCTGTGAGACGTACCGACCCCCGAGGGCCCACCACTGTCGCATCTGCAAGCGCTGCATCCGCCGGATGGACCACCACTGCCCGTGGATTAACAACTGCGTCGGTGAGAGGAACCAGAAGTACTTCTTGCAGTTTCTGATGTACGTCTGTGCGCTGGCTCTGTACTCGATCTTCCTGATCATCGCTTCGTGGGTGTACCCCTGTGAGAATTGCTCGACCACGGTTCCGGAAACGCAGAGCCGCATGCTGCACAGCGTGCTGCTCCTGCTGGAGTCGGCTCTATTCGGGCTGTTTGTGATAGCCATCATGGTGGACCAAATGCATGCCATCCTGTATGACGAAACCGCAGTGGAAGCGGTCCAACAGAAGGGACCCTACCGCAGCCACAGGCCCAAGATGGCTCTGCTGGCGGAGGTGTGCGGCCGGGGTCATCCTGCCATGTGGCTGTTTCCCTGTGCCACGCTGAATCGGAAGCATCACGACGTGCCGCTATTGAGTCACGATGTCTAAGTTGATGTGGGGGGTATTATCGCTTTATGTTTTTTTTTCCTTTCAGCAAGGGTATTAAGTTCCAGCTTCGATTATCTTGTAGTTTGATTCCTAATTTGCAGACCGCGCGTGAGTCGAACGGAAAAGAGGACGCCAGGACCGTTGCTTGCTAACCGGGAGACATTAATTATGTATATGTATGTATGTTTACGAGTAGGTATTTATTATCAAGGTGTGGGAGTAAGGTAACAAAGTAAAGCGATAAAGTATATTTTATGGCTTCCGATAAATGGTGGACTAGGTAGAAACGAAAAGCAGAATATACAAGCAATTTGGTTTGAGGTGAATGGAAGGGATTTATTGTTGTGCTGTTTCCAATGGCGCTTAAGCTTCAAACAATGCGAATGATACTGCATAAGTCCGGATTTATAAGGTTCGAGTGATCGAAAACAGTATTTTGAGTGGGCTCATCCTAAAATACTGAGCATCCCAGGGAGTTATGTCATATTCCGTCAAATTTGGATAAGCCATATGAATCGAGTTGAAAGCCCCAAAATCATTGGAATCGGCACTCAAATGATACGTTATAATTATTGTTTATTAAGTTAATATGCAACAATAACACAGCAAGCAAAAATCGTAAGGCCCCGTATGTATAGGTAAAAAATGACGTACAAACAAATTAACAAAACAGTTTCTGTACTTTGCATCCAAAGTTCAACATCAACAAATCAAACATGTTTTGAACAATTTTCTAAAATTATAATTCAAAAATCACATACGGTACTGTAAACTACAATCTCTTTATTCCTATCGACCGAATGTTCACATGCGCAACCGTATATCTTCTCCGTGTGACGAGAACTGATGTAGAATACGATAATAGCCATCAAACAACCGTAACAAGAAAGATTTGAATTTGAGGTTTCCCCCATCGTAGAGCAGCACTATTTCACCGACTTGTGTGCTTTTTCTCCTTCATCAATCCCGGATATCATTCCTTAAACCCCTCCCCCTTTCATTGGTATAGACAAAACAATTGGAAGCAATATCGAACTACTTCCACATATGACGATATACACGGCCAATGAGAACGACACAAATTTGCAGGAACGCAGCGATGAATAAATTTGGCTTATGTTTTCCTGTGCAACACCTCAAAAATCTGCCGGAAAATGAGGAAAATTGACGAAAATTTTACCGGGATTTTTTCCTGTAAAAACATGACGCAAGTTAACTCATCACTGAGTTCCTGCACTTTATGTGGTTATGAGTAAACTAAACTCAAATTTGGGTCGTTCTCATTCGACGTGTATGCTCTAGGAGAGAAACACAAACCAATAGGTATACCTGATTTCGCACCGAATTTCACACCCCACATTGAATTAACTTTTAAGCAAAGTGAGCGAGCTTTCACCTTCGAAGAATTGTTGATTATTTTTAAGTACTTTTCAGTTGTAAATATCTTTCGCCTGACTTTTTTTTTAGACTTAGATTTTTTACGAACAGTAAATTCATGGGTTGTAGTGAATATTAATTATGATTTGCTTGGCAAGTTATTTTTAAGTTATCGTTGGTGCTTAGGTTTTACCAAACTGATACTAGCAAGAAAGTAGCTTTTTTAAAACCAATGTCAATGTTGACTCTTTTGTTTTCTTTTTGATACGAAACAACCACGGTACAGTAGATTTATATGACTAAGCAATAGAAACGGGAAATGTGAACGCATTCTTTTGTACATATATCTTTCTCCGGAGCAAAATTAGCTGCAATGCATGCACTTCAGCTTTGGTTTAGAATTTCCGCAACATAAAACGGAAAAAAAACCCCGACTGGCACTGATGCAAAATTTTATCGTTGACAAATCAGAGAGAAACTTTTTCGAAGCATTTCTATAGTTGCAGACCGTGTAGCATTTTGGAGGGCTAGTTCCGCATCCACATGAGCAGGAAGAGGAGAATCAAATAATGCAAACTATAGTATGTAAGCAACTGTAAGTGACACAAATCTAGCGAGTAAGAAATCGGTAAATCCATAACTATATATTTAAAGAAAACACACAAACACACAGCAAACTGAATGTAACATTGAACCATACTGCATGCATAATGGTGATAAATGGTTAAGTGTAGGAAGAAGCTCCAGCAAAGTCATTATTGAAAGGAAGCGATCAAGTCTGAGAAATGTAAAATGGTTACACTAACAAAAATATGTAAAAACTCAATTGCAAAGCATCTCAGATTTAAGAAACAATGGAAATATGATTTATTTTTGAAAGACAAAACCGTAGAATACACGAACTCAACCCACTCATTCACAGTAAAAGTCTTACGTGCAAACACTCTTTCCTGAAATATTGTAGCTCCCCGTTTCCTGAGAATCAGTGAATACATTTGTCAGATGAGAATGATGTGCAATAATTTCCTAGCGAAGGGATCTTTTACTGCGGTGGAAAGTAATGAGAAAAAGGCCCTTCGGTACTGGATCTCATCACCCTTTCTCGTGGCACTCATCGATATGTTTGCATACAAGCTGCTATGGGTTATTCACTAGTCGCTTATCCTGTTGTTCCATACTGGGCACGGGCATGGTAAAACTGGATGTTTCCAGGGGACAACAAGGAGTAAAGCTGTAACAACTGTAATTCCCTCTACGATAGCTCGTCACGACGCCTGAATGGAGCAAGGACGTGACTGGTTAGTTGCTTCCTCCTGACCCCAGCTGAAATGTTGGTTTGAGCACTTCGAACAACATCTTCAAGTTTCAACGACCAACTAACCATTATGATCAACCAATAGGGTGAGGCGCATCACTCGCGTCAACTCCGAGCCTCCATCACTGCAGGCGATAAAAGCATGGTTGAACATTTTCATTCTAGGTAAACAAAATGTTATTCGGAATTATGAAATCATTATATTTTATGATGGCTCCCTCCCTTAGCTCAGTTGGTAAAGGTGCAGCTTCGACTTCCCTCAGCATAGAGTATGACTGTATGACTTTCTCCACTGCTACCGCCCTGCTACGGTAAATTTGGAAGGGTTGTTCGCGTTGAAGACCTACAACTGATCATAAACTTAATTGAAGTCTTTTGGATATTATTGTAATTGAATCCGCCTAGTCTGGATGAGCAGACAGGCAAAGACGCAGTCGTAACAACTACAACTAACGTTTATTAGGTTCTAAATGTGGTATTTACAGCTAGGGAGCTAGTTTGAGAATGCCAGCTTTTCAAAGCCTACTTCTTCACCCCCTCTCGATTGTGGAGTCCTATAGCAGAGCTGGTAGCGATCACTGCTGTCAGAAATAGTGATTGTAGTTTCCATGTTGAATAAATAAGTGACCAAATAGGACTTATAGTTGTAAAAATAGTGAATAAAAAGAAGGCACATCAAATAAATGTTTGATGTTTTAGACTTATTAAATTATTATCTCATAAACACTTAGGTACAATATGAACCTTTAAAGCGAAAGATTCAATAGAAAGTTTATAACCAAACCCATGGTATTAGTCACGGTATCTACTAACTGCAAAAATCTGGAAAACCGAGAATCCCCAGGATTTTTGACGTAGGACTACGTCTTTGATTTCTATATGGGGGTACACTTTGTGAAAACCGAAAATGAAACATGTAACAAATTAAGAAAGATTTTGAACGTTAATAACTCAGCTGCCCCTGGTCCAATTTCAATAATTTTATCACCAATCGATCATAAATATGGCTACGCATCGATAACAATGCTTTCGAATATTGATTTTCAACAAGAAACTATTGAAAAACTGGTAAATGTTCAGCATTGTCCAAAAGCGTCGAATTAACTAACAAATCCACCAATTACCTACATGCATATGCTGCTTCCCCAGCACAGTCGTCAGAGAGTAGTAAGTAGACGAAACAAGTCGAAGTGGCATTCGCCTCCGATCCTCGGGCGCGTGCGAATAGGGAGGATGGAATTGCGTAATATTTTGCACACTCATCGTCATCGCCATATTCAGAACCAAACGCAAATTCTTCAAGATAACCATCATCCGTTGTCTGGCTCGCCGTGGCGGTGTCTGACGTATCTCCGGTTTGATATACGAGGTGTGCTGAAGGTGTTCCTGAAAAATGAGATCCGTGATGCTGTCACCTACACTAAACACGCCAAGCGTAAGCGGCCATGGATGTCATCTACGTTTTTGAAGTGACAGAGACGCACTCTGTTTGGTTTTGGAAGTTAAATCATCACCAACTTTGGAAACAAAACGGCTCTTTCAGGACCACCAAGCTTATTACAGTAAAGAGTAGGAATATAATTCATCTGCCTGTTTTTCCATATTCAGAACCAACGACCACACAAAATGCTCATGTAATCAAACTGGAAGCAGGGATACAAATTATTTTGATCAACCTTGATCCACTTTGAATCGCCACGGCCGGATATTTTCTATGGAAGAAGCAACAATCTAGCATCTAATTCGACGAAGACGGCAGGAAACATTTCTGGATCAACAATAGAAAAGGGCCCATCAGCATTTGTAAACTAACCACAAATCGAAGGCCGCTCACACAAACCAACACCATCATTGTGTAGGTAGAAGTTTCCCCTATCCGATGATGGTGTTGGTTTGTGTGGGTGGCCTTCGCTTTGTGAGTAAAGGGCTTTGAAACGGTTTGTTTACAAATACTGATGGGCCCTTTTCTATTGTTGATCCAGATTTGTGAAGCCGAGTTATTTACGAAAGAGAGTGTCGATGAAGAGAATCGATCAATGTAGATAGGACCTATTGAAAAGTGACGCGAGATTTGTTTTCCGTACTGAGCTCCAATGCTACCGACGCCAGGGAGGCAGCTCCCAGAGATGTTATGCCTTAGAACATGCCGGTGGCGCCGACTGAGATTGGACCCAGGCCTGCTGGGGTGAGAGGTAATCACGCTAACCACCGGCGCCGATATCTATCACGGCGAATGAGAATGAGCCAAATTTGAGTTTATTTATCTCAGAAATAAGAAATAAAGTGCAGGAACTCAGCGATCAGTAAATTTGCCTGATGTTTTCCCAGGTTTTTCCAGGATTTTCCAGGGAAAAATTCCCGAATTTGAGAAAAGTAAAAATTGGATTCACTCAGTCTATTGGTACTACTCCGAGACTGAATAAAATTTTCGTCAATTTCCTCATTTTCTGGCAGATTTTGACGTAGGACTACGTCTTTCGGGAAGATGGAGGTACAATTTATGAAAAGCGAAAAATGAAATTATGAAAGATTTTGAACGTTAATAACTTTGCTGCCTCTGGACCAATTTCAATTATTTTATCACAAATCGATCAAAAACATTTCTACGCATCGATAACAATGCTCTTGACTGTTGATTTTCAAATTGAAACTATTGAAAAAGTGGTAAATGTCAAGCATTGTCCAAAAGCTTCTAAATAACTAACAAATCCACCAATTACGTACATGCATGTGCTGCTTCCCCAACACAGTCATCAGAGAATGGTTCCTAGATGAAACAAGTCGAAGTGACATTCGCCTTCGATCTTCGGGCGCGTACGAATAGGGAGGATACAATTGCGGACCATTTTGTTGCCAATTCAGAACCACACGCCGCCAACGACCACACAAAATGCAGTTTTTTTCCTTGGATTTGTTTTCCATGCTGAGCACCAATGCCCACACCCATGCTTGGAATACACAGTTTTGGTCACGAACTGCTCATTTGCTAATAACTTTGCACACAGTTAACGGAACATAGTTCTTTTTGAAGCAGTAGATAGAATAGAGTGTAAGCTTGTTATAGATATGTAAAATAAAGTAGATTTTAATACTAGTAGTAAACTGTACTTGTTTTTGCGTTGTAAAAATAAGGTGAGAAATGCTCACTACACATCTCGGAATTTAAGTGTTAAATTAATTAGTGTTGATTCAAATGTTAAGCGTTACCTAATCTTCGCATATCTATAAATCTATCAATTACTTTAAAGAAAAATAAATTTCAACATCTGAGTGAAAAGTTATTACCAAATGAGCAGTTAGTGTGCACAACTGTGCATGCCCACATCTGGACCCTACCTACTCATGAACCGGGAACCCCGAAGGAAGGCGTGATCAGAGATCCTCAGAACTTATTGGCAGCGTTGAGTGGGATTGAACCCAGGCCTGCTGGGATGCTTACCACTACACCACGGGCGCTGCTCTCTAGAGTTGTAATCTTGTAACCAAACTTGGAAGCATTATTCTAACTCTTTTTTGAAATGAACTTGGTGGCCCTGAAAAGGGCCGTTTTGTTACATTGGTGATAAGTTTTTTCGGGTTTCCTCAAAGATCAGACCGGAGACGCTTGACATAACCACGTCGAGCCAGACGACGAATGGCAGGCTTGGTGTTTTCACCTAGAACCTTCCGATAACGCTTGGTGCCTCCTTTTCCGACCAAGCACTTGTTGCTTGTTTGTCGTTGAACGAGTGAATCGAAACTAGGCCTAAAGCTTGTGTTGTCTTGTCTTTGTTTTAACGGGACTTTAACCGTAAACGGTCATTCGTCCCTGAAAAATTATTATATAGCCAATGGGAAGCGAGAAAATATGGTACCGGCAGAGCTGGTTGTCTATATAGCAGGTTGCTATCTACGCTTTAGGCTTAGTTTCGATTCACCCGTTCAACGACAAACAAGCATCAAGTAAGCAAAGGGACTCAAAGGTTTCGAAAAGGAGGCGCCAAGCGTTATCGGAAGGTTCTGCGTGAAAACATTCAGGGTTTTCCCAAGCCTGCCATCCGTCGTCTGGCTCGACGTGGTTGTGTCAAGTGTCTCCGGTCTGATCTTCGAGGAAACCCGAGATGTGCTGAAGGTGTTCCTAGAAAATATGCGTGATGCCTTCACCTACACTGAACACGCTAAGCGCAAAACCGTCACGTTCATGGATGTCGTCTACGCTCTGAAGCGACAGGGACGCACTCTGTACGTTTTCGGAGGTTACTTATCACCAACGAAACAAAACGGCCCTTTTCAGGGCCACCAAGTTCATTTCAGTAAAGAGTTAGAATAGAATTTATATAGAGTAACCATGATTCACCCATTCAATTTGTCACTAGATACATCAAAACGATTCAAAAATCAAATAATTTGTTAGGGAAATAAATTATGTTCTATCTTATCGGTGGGTTAATTTTTTTCCGTTTCACTTTCATTAACTGAGAAACCCTCATCGTATGCATTCTCCTGCTGCGCGACATCTTCGAAAACGTCCGAACCGTACAAAATTTCGTAGTCCTACGTCAACAATGCGGTTGTGTCTTGTACACCACCCTCCAACTTTTTTAGGTTTTCCACATGATACCATGAGACAAATTTACTCATCGCTGAGTTCCTATACTTTTGGCGATTATGAGTGAACTAAAAATTTGGGTCGTTCTCATTCGCCGTGTACGCAAAAAGAAAATAGCC